GATTTGGGGGAAAATCGGGGAATTTTGGGGAATTTTAAATGAATTTTTGGGGGGAAATTGGGAATTTTTTGGGAATTCTGAGCGAAATTCCTGGGATTTGGGGGAAAATCGGGGAATTTTTGGAAATTTCCATGAATTTTTGGGGGGAAATTGGGAATTTTTTGGGAATTCTGAGGGAAATTCCAGGGATTTGGGGGAAATCTGGGAATTTTGGGGGAAATTTCCATGAATTTTTGGGGGGAAATTTGGGAATTTTGAGGGAAATTTGGGGAATTTTGGGTGAATTCTGGGAATTCTGAGCGAAATTCCTGGGATTTGGGGGAAAATCGGGGAATTTTTGGAAATTTCCATGAATTTTTGGGGGGAAATTGGGAATTTTTTGGGAATTCTGAGGGAAATTCCAGGGATTTGGGGGAAATTTGGGAATTTGGGGGAATTTTGAATGAATTTTTTGGGAATTTTGGGGGAAATTTGGGGAATTTTGGGGGAAATTTGGGAATTTTTTGGGAATTTTGGGGGAAATTTGGGGAATTCTGGGCAAATTCTGGGAATTCTGAGGGAAATTCCAGGGATTTGGGGGAAATTTGGGGATTTTTTTGGAATTTTGAGGGAAAATAAAGGGAATTTGGGATGAAATTCCAGGATTTTTGAGGACATTGGGGAAAATTCTGGGAATTCTGGGAAAATTCCAGGAATTTTGGACAAAATTCTGGGAATTTTGGGAAAATTCTGGGAATTTTTAGGGGATTTTGATGGAAATTCTTGGAATTTTGGGGGAAATTTTGGGAATTCTGAGGGAAATTCCAGGGTTTTTGGGAAATTCTAGGAATTATTGGAAAAACTTTGGGAATTTTGGAAAAAATCTGGAAAAAAATCATAATTTCTTGAAAAATGTTGGGAATTTTGGGGAAAAAATGAGAATTTCTGGGAAAATATTGGGAATTTTAAGGAAAATTTGGGGAATTTTTGAGAAATTTTGGGAAAAATTTAGGAAATTTTGGGAATAAATCAGATTTTTGGGGAAAATTTTGGGTAAAATGCTGGGAAAAATCAGAATTCCTGGAAAAACATTGGGAATTTGGGAAAAAATATTGGGAATTTTTGGGAAAAAATGAGAATTTCTGGGAAAATGTTGGGAATTTTAGGAAAAGACTCAAAATTTCTGGAAAAACTTTGGGAATTTTGGGAAAAAATTGGGGAAAAAATGAGAATTTCTGGGAAAATGCCAGGAATTTTGGGAAAATTGTCGGGAATTTTGGGGAAAAAATGAGAATTTCTGGAAAAACTTTGGGAATTTTGGGAAAATTTTGGGGGAAAAATGAGAATTTTTGGGGAAATTCTGGGAATTTTTGGGGAAATTCCGGGAATTTTGGGAGGATAACGATGACGTCATCGGCGCCGCCTCCCCCTCCCCCCCGTGGATTCCCGGAATTCCCGGAAAATTCCCGGAATTCCCGCAGGATGCGGCGTCGGGGACCTGGACGGAGCCGCCCGGAGCCGGAGCCGAGGGAAAATCCGGGAACTGCGGCTGCCAGGGAGGCGCCTCTGGAACGGAGCCTGACGGACTGGGACGGACTGGGATTAACTGGGATGGGACTGGGAGGGACTGGGAGGGACTGGGATGGACTGGGATAAACTGGGATGGACTGGGATGGACTGGGATAAACTGGGATGGACTGGGATAAACTGGGAGGGACTGGGATGGACTGGGATGGACTGGGATAAACTGTGAGGGACTGGGATGGACTGGGATGGACTGGGATGGACTGGGATAAACTGGGATGGGACTGGGATAAACTGGGAGGGACTGGGATGGACTGGGATAGACTGGGATAAACTGGTTTGGACTGGTTTAGACTGGTTTGGACTGTTCTGGACTGGGCTAGATTGGTTTGGACTGGGCTGAACAGGTTTGGATTGGTTTGGACTGGTCTGGATTGATTTGGGCTGGTCTGAACTGGTTTGGACTGGTTTGGACTGGGCTGGATTATTTTGGACTGGTTTGGGTTGCTCTGGGCTGGTTTGGACTGGGCTGGACTGCTCTGAACTGGGAATGGCTCCCAGTTTGACCCAATAAATCCCAGTTTGATCCAATAAATCCCAGTTTGACCCAATAAATCCCAGTTTGAGTCAATAAATCCCAGTTTGATCCCATAAATCCCAGTTTGACCCAATAAATCCCAGTTTGACCCAATAAATCCCAGTTTGAGTCAATAAATCCCAGTTTGAGTCAATAAATCCCAGTTTGATCCAATAAATCCCAGTTTGATCCAATAAATCCCAGTTTGATCCCATAAATCCCAGTTTGACCCAATAAATCCCAGTTTGAGCCAATAAATCCCAGTTTGAGTCAATAAATCCCAGTTTGACCCAATAAATCCCAGTTTGCCCCAATAAATCCCAGTTTGATCCCATAAATCCCAGTTTGAGTCAATAAATCCCAGTTTGAGCCAATAAATCCCAGTTTGAGTCAATAAATCCCAGTTTGATCCAATAAATCCCAGTTTGACCCAATAAATCCCAGTTTGAGCCAATAAATCCCAGTTTGAGTCAATAAATCCCAGTTTGATCCAATAAATCCCAGTTTGACCCAATAAATCCCAGTTTGAGACAATAAATCCCAGTTTGAGTCAATAAATCCCAGTTTGACCCAATAAATCCCAGTTTGAGCCAATAAATCCCAGTTTGAGCCAATAAATCCCAGTTTGAGTCAATAAATCCCAGTTTGAGTCAATAAATCCCAGTTTGAGCCAATAAATCCCAGTTTGAGCCAATAAATCCCAGTTTGATCCAATAAATCCCAGTTTGAGTCAATAAATCCCAGTTTGAGTCAATAAATCCCAGTTTGAGTCAATAAATCCCAGTTTGATCCCATAAATCCCAGTTTGACCCAATAAATCCCAGTTTGATCCAATAAATCCCAGTTTGATCCCATAAATCCCAGTTTGACCCAATAAATCCCAGTTTGATCCCATAAATCCCAGTTTGAGTCAATAAATCCCAGTTTGAGCCAATAAATCCCAGTTTGAGTCAATAAATCCCAGTTTGATCCAATAAATCCCAGTTTGATCCAATAAATCCCAGTTTGAGCCAATAAATCCCAGTTTGAGCCAATAAATCCCAGTTTGATCCAATAAATCCCAGTTTGAGTCAATAAATCCCAGTTTGAGCCAATAAATCCCAGTTTGAGTCAATAAATCCCAGTTTGATCCAATAAATCCCAGTTTGACCCAATAAATCCCAGTTTGATCCCATAAATCCCAGTTTGATCCAATAAATCCCAGTTTGAGTCAATAAATCCCAGTTTGAGTCAATAAATCCCAGTTTGAGTCAATAAATCCCAGTTTGACCCAATAAATCCCAGTTTGAGTCAATAAATCCCAGTTTGATCCAATAAATCCCAGTTTGAGCCAATAAATCCCAGTTTGAGCCAATAAATCCCAGTTTGATCCAATAAATCCCAGTTTGATCCAATAAATCCCAGTTTGATCCCATAAATCCCAGTTTGAGTCAATAAATCCCAGTTTGAGTCAATAAATCCCAGTTTGAGCCAATAAATCCCAGTTTGATCCAGGATTTTGGGGATTTTGGGGACTGGGTTCTTCCTGTTCATTATCCCAGAGACCTGAACTGGTCTGAACTGGTTTGAACTGGTCTGAAGTGGTCTGAGCTGGTCTGAACTGGTTTGGACTGGTTTGGACTGGTCTGAACTGGTTTGAACTGGTCTGAACTGGTCTGGACTGGTCTGAACTGGTCTGAACTGCTCTGGACTGGTCTGGACTGGTCTGAACTGGTCTGGACTGGTCTGAACTGGTTTGGACTGGTTTGGACTGGTCTGAACTGGTCTGAACTGGTCTGAACTGGGATCAGCTCCCATTTTGCTCCAATCCCAGGAGAAAAGAACGGAATTGCTCCGGGATTTTGGGGATTTTTGGGATCCGTTTATTATCCTGCATTTCCGCTGGCTCCCGTCTGAACTGGTCTGGACTGGTCTGGACTGGTCTGGACTGGTCTGGACTGGTTTGGACTGGTTTGGACTGGTCTGAACTGGGAATGGCTCCCAGTTTGATCCCATAAATCCCAGTTTGATCCAGGATTTTGGGGATTTTGGGGATTGGGTTCTTCCTGTTCATTATCCCAGAGACCTGAACTGGTCTGAACTGGTCTGAACTGGTCTGAACTGGTCTGAACTGGTCTGGACTGGTCTGAACTGGTCTGAACTGGTCTGAACTGGTTTGGACTGGTCTGGACTGGTCTGAACTGGTCTGAACTGGTCTGAACTGGTTTGAACTGGTCTGGACTGGTCTGAACTGGGATCAGCTCCCATTTTGCTCCAATCCCAGGAGAAAAGAACGGAATTGCTCCGGGGTTTTGGGGATTTTTGGGATCCGTTTATTATCCTGCATTTCCGCTGGCTCCCGTCTGAACTGGTCTGGACTGGTCTGGACTGGTCTGGACTGGTCTGGACTGGTTTGGACTGGTTTGGACTGGTCTGAACTGGGAATGGCTCCCAGTTTGATCCCATAAATCCCAGTTTGATCCAGGATTTTGGGGATTTTGGGGATTGGGTTCTTCCTGTTCGTTATCCCAGAGACCTGAACTGGTCTGAACTGGTCTGGACTGGTCTGAACTGGTCTGAACTGGTTTGAACTGGTCTGAACTGGTCTGGACTGGTCCGGACTGGTCTGGACTGGTCTGGACTGGTCTGAACTGGTCTGGACTGGTTTGGACTGGTCTGAACTGGTCTGGACTGGTCTGGACTGGTTTGGACTGGTCTGGACTGGTCTGGACTGGTCTGGACTGGTTTGGACTGGGAATGGTTCCCAGTTTGCCCCAATAAATCCCAGTTTGAGCCAATAAATCCCAGTTTGACCCAATAAATCCCAGTTTGAGCCAATAAATCCCAGTTTGATCCCATAAATCCCAGTTTGAGCCAATAAATCCCAGTTTGATCCAATAAATCCCAGTTTGAGTCAATAAATCCCAGTTTGAGTCAATAAATCCCAGTTTGAGTCAATAAATCCCAGTTTGACCCAATAAATCCCAGTTTGACCCAATAAATCCCAGTTTGATCCCATAAATCCCAGTTT